TCATGCTCCAATCAAGGTACAAAATGTCTTAGAAACACAAGAAAATGACAAATTCTAGGAGGTGAAGAAAGCTTCGCAAAAGACCATGAGATGGAGGCCTGAAGGACAGGTTAGGAGAGAAAAACAATCCAGACAGTGGAAGCAGTCTAAAGGAAAGGGAGAGATGGAAAATGCTAGACATGGGTGAGAAACAGGAAAATAACTATGGAACTCACTCAACTATTACTATTTTGAATGTCTCTAATTATCACTTACATAGTTTTAATGAATTCACCCTTAAGAGCTATTTGAGCCCAGCATTTTATGTCAGTGATTCCTGAAAATATGCAGATGATTATCTGCAAGATGGATCAGCTGTTATTAAACAGGATTTTCACAAGTCAGGTGGATCCCAAGCTGCTTCATGATTCCTAAACACGGTGCTACCCTCTGTTCACTCCCCAAAGGCTCCTCTTGGTCATTTCAGCATTCCTGCCTCAGTATGAATGAACTACTCCAACATCCTAGGATCTCACTGAAGGTGGCATGTTCTTTCCTACACACACTGCAATCAAGAGAAAATTATACCTTTTAAGGACTAATAACCCCATAACACAAAATGTAAAAATGCAAAATCAAACCACATAAATGTCTGCAGTACATACTACAAAGAACTCTAGAATTAGAAGAGACCTTAGGTGGGGCGCCTGGGTGGCTCAGTCGTTAAGCGTCTGCCTTCGGCTCAGGTGATGGTCCCGGAGTCCTGGGATCGAGCCCCGCATCGAGCCCCGCATCAAGCCCCGCATCGAGCCCCGCATCGAGCCCCGCATCGAGCCCCGCATCGAGCTCCCTGCTCTGCCGGAAGCCTGCTTCTCCCTCTCCCGCTCCCCCTGCTTGTGTTCCCTCTCTGGCTGTCTTTCTCGTTGTCAAATAAATAAAATCTTAAAAAAAAAAAAAGAAGAGACCTTAGGGAAAATCTCTATCAAGACACAAACTGTGTCTATCAGGTTCTTTCTCTCAGGAATTCAGAATCAAGCCTCAATGATTTAGTCTTTCCCTGTGAACTGAGGGACACGTAAATACTCAGGAGCTGCTGAGCAGTCAAATTCAACCATGAACACAGGAAAGCAGGAAAAAAAAAAAAAAAAAAAAGGTCAGCAAAGAAAGAACAATGAAGCAAAGAAAGGCAAAGAGTAGAGACAGAGAAAGTTCCACGTTTTCCAGTCCCTGGTCCCTAATATGGTCTGTCTGCATTTAGCTTCCATCAAATTCCTTTCTTTCATTTTCCTAAAACTAGTTCAAGTTCGTTTCTCTTACTTGCAACAGAAGCTTAAATGAGGCAATAACCAAATCCTCCGTAAAGTCAATTGGTTGATTTATTACTGGCCTATCTTTTCTACAATTTCTTTTTCTTTGCATTTCCATAAAGGCATAAAGATGACTTTGGTATGCTATACAGAAAATATGTGAACAAGGATCCAGGACCACGCTGAACATTTTAAAAGAAAAACTGGCCCAGAAAGGAGAAAATATAAGAATATTCAAAGTAAAGCCTTGAGATATCTATATAGAAATCACAGATGCTAACAACTGGCAAATTAAATAGCAATCTGATGACCCTCCTATCCAATCTCAATTTAATTCTGAATAAACCAGATGGGTAGGTCCAAGTATGATCAATAGGGCATTTTGTAGGAATGTAGGGCATTTCATCTGGAATGCCCCCAAATAACTACCCACAACCTCCCAACCACAGAAAGGTTTGGATGCTGTGCTGTGGTATCCTTAACCCAGACACAAATTCCAAAACTGAATACCAAACCATCTTAGGGCCTGGGCTTAACTGCCCTAAAGAACAGTTAGACATTTACCCTATGACATAACCAGCACTTCCTGCTATTAGATGAGGGGAAGAGAAAGTAACACAAGCTTAATATCATGGAACTCTGTCAACGTGTGTGCATCTGTGTGCATGTGCCAGATATCAAGATGTTCCACAAGCTGGATCCACACCAATCAGATCTGACCACAAGTAGACCAGTTTAACATGTATAGCAAGTCAGAGTTGACAATCAGAAGTTTGAATCAATGTAGGGTGGGCGGCTCTGCAGGATTATATAAACAAAAACAATATTACAGTAACCTAGAGTTCGAAGGGACATGGAGATTATGTCCAACTTCATCACTTTACAGAGAAGGAAGCTAAACATCTGAACCAAATCCCCAACTATAATAAGTAACACAGGCACGATAAAATCAAAGAACTGTGACCAGATAATAGAACCAAAAAAAGCATTATTTGCTAACGTTCTCTCTAATGGTTGAAATTTTATTTTTAATTTAAAAAGGATAAATGTATTAGAAAATGTAGGAAAAAATCTAAGCAACTACTGTTGGGATCTTTTTTGGATATTCTTGTTACTTGAGTTTAGCAAAATAGTAAAGATTTCTGACCTAATGGGTTAACATTTTAGTTAAAATACTAGAACAAGCACCTTTAAAAACTAAAAAACTGTGAGTTGATTCAAAACGTAAATGATGCTATATGTTTGCAACCTTGGCAGATAGGCAGTTTAGGCACTGTGACAAAATTCTACATGGTAGAGAACTACTTATTTTAATATAAAAAAATTCCAAACGTTCACATAGGGCCCTAATAAAAGTCATCAGAAATTAGACTTATATGTCAGCTGGGACCAAAATTAAAAGAATGAATGTTTAAGTGATCCAAACATAAACTTGGTGTTCAAAATTGCTGGCAAGGGGCCACAGTACAGTGGATTTTGGTCTTCAGGGGCTGCTTTACCACAAGTATTAGGTAAGTCAACACATCACTGAGGGGAAAGAAAAAAAAACACATATATTCCCTGGCAGTACAATCCACTCTTTATTGTGCAGCACAGTATTTTCTAGAAGACCACTAATAAAATGTGCAGTTAGAACCTCTTGTATTTCCCAAGAAGTACTATTAAAGATACTCCTAAAATATGAATCCATAAAAAGTAGGTCTTTCTGAAAAACAGTTCTAGTCAGAAGCAAACATGAAATTGATATCATTACTTAAATTAATATTTATAAACTGCACATTTAATAAAGTTAAACATTTTAAAAATCTCCCATTAATCTAAATTGGCAATTTTATAAGTTACATGAACCCTGAAGATTTTTTTATAGACCAACTATCTTTTAAATTCTGTTTTGCCACCAATGCTGCAAACGGAAATATGAAGAGACAGACCAGAGAGTTCTGAATATAATCTATGCTTATTAGAGTCAGCTTTAAACTAATTCATAAGTCCTAATTGCGAGCCATATCTTATGTTGACGCTTTAGTCTTCTAGCGGCAAAAACAAAAACAAACTAAAATTTCCTAATCTCAACTGAGGAATTATAATTTTTGTTCTTCCATTCCAGAAAAAATTAAGAACTGAGAAACTCTGATGATTAGTAAGTTGGATACTCATCACAAATACCAAAATTTCATGCAATTTCACATTTACCTTAAACTGTACATTTGTAATTTCAAATAATTACCTTTTATAATAACCTTATAAAAAATGTTCGTGATATTTTCCACATGATTTAAAGAAAATGATCTTAAAAATCGTCTCTTAAGACTTCAGAATTACCGTAATTATAGTCCTAAACCAAGGAAGGCAGGAATGGCCCCTTTCGTTCACATAGTTTGACTTTAAATAGTCCGGTGTAAAACTTAACAAACAGACTCGGATGCTTTTTTCCGCTCAAAAACAAAACAAAACTGGTAGCTGGCAAACTCGGGGTTTTGTTCGGCTTGGGCCTATTAAATACCAGCGGGGCCCGCGGGAGCCTGAGCCCCAGCCCCCGGCGCGGGCGATGCGGCGGGCGGGTGACCGTGCGCCCCTCGGTGCGCCCCTGCTCGCCGCCCGCCGCTCCCGGCGCTGCCCCCAGCGCCGCCCGGCGCCCCACGCCCCTCCGGACGCGCGGCGGGAGGCGCGGGCCTGGCCGGCGCATTCCCACGCACCCCGGCCCGTTATCCGAGCGGCACTTCGGCGGGGGCCCCCGCTGCTGGTCCCGCGCCCTCCCGCAGTCGGCGCGGCGCCCCTCCTCTGCCTCCGGCGGGCGGCCCGGCCAAGCCCCTTCCCGGGGGCCCGCGTCGGGCGAGAGCGTCCCTCGGCTCAGGTTCGCTCCGGGGACGGGATAAGGTGTCAGCGACGCGGCCAGACGCCTCCCGGAGGCGGGGGCGAAGCCAGCCTGACCTCCTTCCATCCGCGCCCCCTCCACCGCCCGCGCGGGGCGCTCCCCTTCAGCGCCCCTCCCCGGCTCAGGACAGGGGGCGTCCCCGCAGGAGGCTGAAGGGGGCGCAGCCGGCGCTCAGAGGGGATCCGGGGTCTGGGTCACACCTCAACTCGGCAGGGTTGGGCTGGGAGAGGGGAGGCGAGGCGCGGAGGGAGCCCAAACTTACCTGACTGCGCGGTTCTCCGCGCCACGGCCGTGGCCAGCCAAAGGCGGAGGCAGAGCGAGAGGGGGCGCGGGAGGGTCCGCCGCGGGCTCATGGAAGGGCCAGGGAGCCGCCGCCGCCGCCGCCGTCCGAGCCTCCCTCCCTCCCTCCCTCCCAGGCTCCGGGCGACGGACGGGGCGGCGGGAGGCATGACGGGAAATTCCTGGGCGCGGGCAGCCGAGTCCAAATATGAGCATGGGAGACGAGCGAGGGAGGACCGCGGAGCGGGCCCGCCGCGGACAGGGCCCGCTGCCCGGCCTCAGCGGCCGCCAACTCCCTCCTCCGAATCCTGCTCGTCCACAGCCGCCGCGAGGCTGCCGGCCGCGAGCGCGAGCAGAAGGTGGAAGCTCTCTGCCAGGGAGCATCCCTCTCCAGGGTTGAGGCCCGAGAGCAGAGCCGAGCGCCCCACCCAGGTCCCACCTGAGACCCCTGACGGGGTAGAAGAGAGAGAGACCACCACCAGGACACCGGACAGCGAGCCGAGGACCCGACGGAAGACGCCTAAGGGGTTTGAGGAGACTCCCGCGCTGCCCCTAATCACCTGAGCGCTTTGGTCAGGAGAGGATAAAAAGATCTGGCAAATACTTCTGTTAAGCAGTGTGGGAGGGTGAGGCTGGAGCGGCACTGCCAGTTCCGCACATTCAGGTGAGCCATCCAGTCCACAACAAACAGGCATTGTAAGACACAAAACCACCCCCTGCCTTCCAGGCGAGCGTTCATTTGCAGCGGAGGCAGGCTGCGTGTCAAGTTTTCACAGTAGTTAAATGCTGATGCTGAGACCAGTTGTCCTTTCCACCACCAACCTGTCTTCCTCCCCTTACACTAGTTTTTGTAGTTGTTGTAGCTTGTCTAAAAGGCAATGTTGAAATGTATTCAAAAGGTGCTACCTCTGATGGCCAAAATGTCAGTCCCAGATGTTTAATTACAGGCCCAAGCTACTAGCTCCCTGCCTTTTCTTTGGCACTGGTAACTCCTCCAGTAATCGAGTCCAAATGACCCTTAGCTTTTCAAGACAACGTAATTGTCTTAATTACTATAATTTATTATTTTTTTATTCACATTGACACGACAGGCCCTGCAGATGCAAGATGTTATATAATTCCTTAGGAACATTTTAAGATGCTACAAAAATGATTTATGGATGCAAAATTCTTAAGGGGTAAATGCCAAACAGATTTAGAGTGTGGATTATTCTAGTATGAACTAAAGTGTGGTAATCTGTACATCTACATCACGCTACTTGTTTGAAAATGCTGATTTGAAAATCAAAAACTTCAAAACAAATTTAATTCTAGCAAATTATTAAGGCCCATATGCCAAAAACCACTCCATTTGCAAAAAGCTCCCCTTAAATCATTTGGTACTGAGAAACACCACATCCTATGAATTACTCCTGGCAAATGGGCAGATTTCACCCTTAATATACTAGCAGTGACAATGAAGCTAAGGGCAGATGATCTAAGTAAACTAAGGGTAAATAAGCTGTAATACAGTAAATAAGGGATTTAAAAGACACATGGTATTATTCAATTTAGGTACCTAGAAGCTGGGCAGTGGGAGGGGAATATTCAGGAAAACTATTGAATATTCACTCCCTTTTCTCTTTTTTGTATATTTAACTGGGTATAACATAAGCATCTGTTTTGTTGGGGTTTTTTTAAGATTTATTTATTTTTATTTGAGAGAGAGAGCACTCAAGCCAGGGGGAGGGGCAGAGGGAAAGAGAGAGAGAGAGAGAGAATCTCAAGCAGACTCACCACTGAGCATGGAGCCCAACACAGGGTTCTATCCCAGGACCCTGAGATCATGACCTGAGCCAAAACCAAGAGCTGGACGCTCAACTGACTGAGCCACCCAGGCTACCCAAGCATCTGTTTTTCTTAATTCCCTTATAACATCTAACATAGTTCTTTGGCCATAATCTAACAGGTTGTTTAAAAACAAAAGGAAATGAGCACAGTAATTTGTGGACTGACATATAGCAGTTCTGAGCTAAGTGTAGGGAAAAGCTTGTTTCAAAGGAATGTAATAATCATAGTTATATTTAAAATATTTTAGTTGACCTTATATGCAAAAACATAAAATTATAAACACTGCATTATCCCACAACCTAGTTCATAGTAATATAAGTGGAGAGTTTAGTAATTGTATCTGCAATTCTGCTGACTTGACCGCAAAACCAGCAGCTGGGTTTTTTTTTTGTTTTCGTTTTGTTTTGTTTTAAAGATTCTATCTATTTATTTGAGAGAGAGAGAGAGAATGGGCGGGGGGGAGCAGAGGGAGAGGAACAAGCAGACTTTGCACTGAGCGCAGAGCCCAAGGTCATGCCCGATCCCAGGACCCCGAGATCACGACTGCAGCCAAAACCAAGAGTAGGCCCCCTCAACCGACCCAGCCACCCAGGCGCCCTACCCACCAGATGTTTTCAAGGCTTCAATAAATTAAAGAGAGGAGAAAAGAGCTAAAGTTACTTGAGTGCGTAACAAGTGCCAGACACTGTGCTAGATGTCTTACACATGGTACTTCATTTAATTCCTACAAATATCTCTGAGCTTGTTATCCTTTATCCTTATTTTACAGCTAAGGAGACTGAGGCATAGATAAATTATGCTACCAGGAAGGGGTGAAGGAGTATTGGAATTCAAACCTCATTCCAAAATCATATATGCTCTTTTTACTGTACGAATCTGTCCCATTTTCCCTACATTAAAAAAAAAAGAAAAAAAAAAAGGAACTCAAAAACTGTATTCACTGGGCTCTTGTGGTTTTAAGTAACTGGTGTGCACTCAAGTTACCTCAAGTAATAGGGGTAAAGAATACATGTGGAAATAAGACCAGAGACTTAACCGGCTTGTCGGGTCATCCTTTGTGGGCCTGGGAGGTGGAGGTTGTGCCTTTTGATAAGTACCAGGAACAGGAAAGGTACTACCCTCTGACCACATTCCTATGAGCTTTGTAATTTAGCCACTGATATTTAGATCATATATTTCACAATGTCTTCTCTAACGTCTTTTTTTATAATCTTAATACCAATCATGTTAACATATTACCTTAAACATTGTTTGTTTTTAAGACAAAGGACCCAGAAGAGGTAACTGCTTCCCCTGCTCCCTATATACCATCCCTTCCCCTACCCAGTGGTGTGCTAGTAAATTGTTAACAACCAGCCCTGGAGGAGGGAGACCTCAATTGTAACAAAAACCAATTGATGTGGTGTCAATACTCCCCCAGCCTGAGGCAGAGTGGGGAAGAGATGCACACAACCAGCACTCGGGCCTGTGACCGCCAGCACAGCATTGCCCCAGCTCCTCATGAAATGTCTTCAGAACACAGCCATAATTCAAACTGCACAACCATAGCTCTTCCCACTTGCTGCCAATTCTCTGTCTATAGTTCATGATCAAATGCCCCGGAGGGGAGAATCTGATTCTATCACCATTGTCCTTTTTGGGGAAAGTTCTTACTTGAGGCAATCTCAGAAAACACTGGGCAGCCCACAGACTGGCTACCTCTAAGCCAGGTGTCCTCTCCTACTGCAGCTGTGACTAGGATGGAAGGCTAACATTCTACACAACATAGCACCAATGCTGAAGAAACAGACTGCGCTGCTACCTTCTTAGGGCTTGTGGTTGGGGCAACCTCTTTTAAAAGGAGTCTGTAGGCAGGACAGGCTTTCAAGCTGTAATCTCGCCAACATACTGTGCTCAGCTCTTCAATAAGATCCTCTCAGCCACTCCACAAAGCTTTGGGGCAGCCTTTACTCGGCATACCCCAAGGAGCTGCCAACAACTGCAAACAGGAGAATGGACAGGTTAGGACTAGACAGTACTCAAAAGCCCCCAGCCAGAGTCAGAAATAGAAACCCTAAGTTAGTACTTAAATTCAATGAACATTTATCAGGCGCCATTGTTTTAAACCAATAATGACTGATGGGAGAGTAAGGGAATTACCTCACAGGAGGATGTAAAAGACTCTCGAGGAGAAAGTTTTTCAAACCACACTCAATCCAAACTCCCCAAATGTGCTTTCCTCTCCTGGGAAATAGAATGGTGTGACTCACTCGTGCTGAGAACACTTTTATACTGGTGAAAGCATGCCCCTTGCCTCAGCGTGCTGGGGTGGGGTGGGAGTGAGGCTGAGGAGAACTACTCTCAACAACATGAGGGACACAGAGTCAATGCTGACTTAAGGGAGACACCTGAAATTTTCTCTCAGATTCTGAAAAAGAATTTCCACTTTCATGACACACTTCCAGTCCCCAGTCACCAGATGTACTAAAAGGACAAGGACTCTGTATCAGGTCATGAAGTGGGGCCCCTAAATAAAGATAAAGACTGAATTAAAATTAGCACTTTCCATCTTTTCATGGTAAAATAATTTTGCTGCATCTCAAATGGCATTCTTTTATTTTACACAGTTGAAGCCATTCCTTTTGTTGATTAATTCTGGAGAGATTTGATGTATTCCCATGATTGATGTGCTGCCTGATTCTACTAGCTTTGGATATGTGGTTATGCTACAACAAGCAATAAATATTTAACAAGATTTTCAATGTTTTAGAGAATTAAATAATCCTCTCTAGACCAGCAAAGCTGCTTGACTGTTAGCAAGATTGTCACGTAAAGCAGTATATGCAACATCAACTACATACACAAAATTAAAGAGAAGGGGAAGGAGCAAGATTGAACATTTTGGGGGCACCTGGGTGGCTCAGTTGGTTAGGCGTCTGACTCTTGGTTTCGGCTCAGGTCATGATCTCATGGGTCGTGAGGTAGAGCCCCTCATGGGGCTTCACACTCAGTAGGGAGTCTGCTTGAAGATTCTCTCCCTCTGCTCCTGCCCCCATGTGTGTGCACTGTGCTCTCTCCCTAAAATAAATAAATCTTAAAAAAAATTAAAAGAATGAATATTTTAAGTTGTACAGGAGAATTCTGATGGTGAACTTGATTCTACTCTTTTACTCCATCTCTCAGTGCTTCTTATATGGAGAACATCTAACCCCACAGCGTGTGCATGTGGTGTTTAAAGGTGTGTATTTTTCACATAACTTGTCCCTAACCACGAACTACTTCCTTCATGTGTTGTTCAGCCAAAGCAGCCACAATCTGATCCAGTGGTAAAGAAAACCCTGGCTGTGTTGGGCTTTCTGGGAGATGCTATGTTGCTCTCCAAAATGGTGCCTCACTACAGGATTTTCTGCAGTAGTTTTACCTCTGCCTAAATTTCACCCTGCAAGCTGCTGTTAGAACCTAATCTCAAAATCAGATAGTTCTACTCACTGGTCAGGGACCTGGGCTTTGGCATCAGACAGATCTAAATTCAAGCATGGCCTCCACCATTAAAGCTCATGGGACAACAGGCAAGTTACTTAACTACTCCAAGCTTTGATATTCTTCTCTGTAGAACGAAAAAGTAAAGATACCTACCACTCATGATGCTTAGCACTTAGTCCCATGCTAGCTAATGGTAACTCCTTAATAAATATCAATATAATACTAATATTATTAACTTTTATCATCACTTACCAACTTTCAATCACCAGAGTCACTCTTTGCCTTTAAGCTTTATCTGATATGATTTCCTGTCTGAAATGACTCATAGTTTCTCTTCACAGCTCAGAGTCCTACATTTGTATTCATAATCACCTCTTAAGGAAGTCTGTTCAGATTTAGTTGATTCTTTCAACACATGTTTTCTTCAAACACTTTTTATACTTATATCCAGGTTTACT